TTTTCGGTATGAATAACTACTCTTGGCCCACAATTTCCTAAATCCTATCAAACAAGCAACAGCAGGCCTCTGTGAGCCCCAGGCTTAGTACTAGTAGCAGCCTGCTTAGATTCACAGCTTGGCTTCCCCTGATAATCTCCAAGACCAGCACAAGTAGCAGCCATCTCAGATTGCTTTATAGCTCAGGCAGAGTGGCCCTAGGAAAAACACAGGTGGGTACTGACCTTGGCCTGAACCACCTGGGAAACTCCCAGGGCCAGTGCACCCAGTGGATAGTTATAGACCACATTGGAGCACCATGACCCTACACCTGTACAACCAATCCTCCGCAGAGAGAGGAGGTTGGTGGTAAGTGGTTGCAGCCAATCCTTGAAGTTCATTGGCCTGGATAATCCCTTCCATTGATCTACCAACTGCAACCAAGTCTCAACTATAAGAGGAGGGTGTACTCAGTCTACATGAAGGATGCACCTTGAGTACCCAGCTTGGGTGATGGGGAGGCTGTGCCACTGGACCCTACAGGACACCTGCTACATTAGGCCACATTTACCAAGGCATATAATTAAAGTAGCTCTGCCCAGCACATAGAAACAAACACAGGGAGGCTGCCAAAATGAATATACAAAGAAACATGGCTCAAATGAAAGAACAGATCAAAACTCCAGAAAAAGAGTTAAACAAAAGGGAGAGATAAACAATCTATCAGATGCAGAGTTCAAAACACTGGTTACAAGGATGCTCAAGGAACTTAATGAGGACCTCAACAGCATTAAAAAAATCCAGTCAGAAATGAAGGAGGCACTAATTGAAATGAAGAACAATTTACGGGAAAGAACAGTTGGATGGATAAAGCTGAGAATCAGATCAGTGATTTGGAACATAAAGAACAAAAAACAACCAATCAGAACAAGAAGAAGAAAAAGGAATTCCCAAAACTGAGGGTAGTATAAGCAGCCTCTGGGACAACTTTAAGTGGTCCAACATTTGCATCATAGGGGTGCCAGAGGAAAAGAGAAAGAACAAGAAATTGGAAATAGATTTGAAAAAATAATGAAAGAAAACTTGCCTAATTTGTTGGAGAACATAGACATACAAGTCCAGGAAGTACAGAGTCCCAAATAAGATGGATGTAAAGAGGCCTACTCCAAGACACATCAGACTTAAAATTCCAAAGGTTAAAGTAAAGAGAGAATCATAAAAGCAGCAAAAGAAAAGCAATTAGTTACCTACAAAGGAGTTTCCATAAGACCGTCAGCTGATTTCTCAAAAGACTTTGCAGGCTAGAAGGGACAGGCAAGAAATACTCAAAGTCATGAAAAGCAGGTACCTACAGCCAAGATTGCTCTACTCAAAAAAGCTATCATATAGAATTGAAGGGCAGATAGCTTCCTAGAGAAGAAAAAACTAAAGAAGTTCATCATCACCAAACCATTATTATATGGAATGTTAAAGGGACTTACTTAAGAAAAAGAAGATCCAGATTATGAACAATAAAATTACAGAAATACACATGTATCAACAGTCAAATCAAAAACAAGCTAAGCAAACAAGGAGGACAGAGACAGAATCATGGATTCAGAGAGTGTTTTGATGGTTGACAGATGGGGGAGAATGGGGGGATGAGCGAAGAGGTGAGGGGATTAAGAAATACAAAATAGTTATAGAATAGCAATGGAAATCTAAAGTACAGTTTAGGAAATGGAGTAGCCAAAGAACTTACACATATGCCCCAAGGACATGAACATGGTGGGAATTGCTTGAGGATTTAGGGGGTGCTAGGTGGAGGGGGCAAAGGTGCAAAATCAGGACAACTGTAATAGCATAATCAATAAAACATAATTTTAAAAAATTAAAGAAAAATATAAAATTTAAAAAATATATACTTTGAAACAAGGACTATGATAAGAGACAAAGAAGGACACTATGTAATGATAAAGCAGTTAATCTAACAAGACATATAAACCTTGTAAACATTTATGCAACTAAATATATAAAGCATTTTTTGATAGACATAAAAGAGAGATCAGCAGTAGTACAGCCACAATAAAGAATTCAACACACCATTGACATCAATGGATAGATCTTCCAGAAAGAAAACTTACAAGGAAACATCAGCTTTAAGTGACACATTAGACCAGATGGATTAAATTGATATTTTCATACATTTCACCCCAAAGCAACAAAATACACATTTTTTTTCATGTGTACATGGACCATTCCCCAGGATAGACCACATGTTAGGACACAGAACAAATCTCAGTAGATTTAGGAAGATTGAAATCATATCAAGCATCCTCTTTGACTGCAATGTTTTGAAACTAGAAATCAATTACAAGAAAAAAACTGAAAACACAAACACATGGAGACTAATAACATGGTACTAAACAACCAATGAGTTAACAATGATGTCAAGGAAGAGATAAAAAGATACCTTGAGAAAAATGAAAATGAAAACACAACAATCAAATGTATAGGATAGAGCTAAAGCAGCCTATGAGGGATATTCATAGCAATACAGGCCTCCCTTAAGAAACAAGAAAATTATCAAACCAACAATCTAACTACATACCTAAAGGAACTAGAAAGAGAAAAACTAAGCCCAAAGTGACTAGAAGAAAGAAAATAATAAAGATTAAAGTGGAAATAACTGAAATAGAGTCTAAAATACAATACAAAAGGTCAGTGAAGCGGGCTTCACATGTGAATTTGACCATTCAAAAAAGAACTAACACCTATGCTCAAACTTCCCCCAAAACTCACGAGACTCATTTTATGAGGCCAACATTGTCCTGATTCTAAAACCAGATAAAGACACTACAAAGAAAGAAAATTACCAGATTTTTTAGAGTATAAGATGCACCCCTCCCCCACCCTTCAAATTTGGGAAGAATAATGGTTGTTAATGCTGCTGTTGAGTTCTGTTTACATTTACATTGGTGAAATACTATGTTATTAAATATTTTACCACATTTTTTTGCTTCAAAATTTTTTTCCTCTTTTTCTCCTCTAAAGCCTAGGTGTGTCTTATGATCTGAAAAACACAGTATAGACCAATGTCCTTGATGAACATAGGTGCAAAAATCCTCAACAAAGTATTAGCAAACTGAATTCAGCGTCATTAAAAAGATCATACACCTTGATCAAGTGAGATTTACTCTGTGATGCAGGGTTCAATATCTGCAAATCAGTTCATGTGATACATCACATAAACCAAGTGAAAGATACAAATCATATGATCGTATCAGTAGATGCAGAAAAAGCACGTGACAAAGTCCAGCACCCGTATATGATAAAACTCAACAAAGTAGGAATAGAGGGAACATAGCTCAGTGTAATGAAGGCCTGTATGACAGACACACAGCCAGCATCATACACAACAGGGCAAAACTGAAAGGTTTTCTCTTAAGATCAGGAACAAGACAGGGATGTCTGCTTTTACCAGTCTTACTCAGTGTAGTACTGGAAGTCCTAGCCACAACAATTGGATAAAGAAGGAAAAAATAAAAGGCATCCCAGTTGGAAAGGAAGAAGTAAAACTTATTTACAGATGAAAAGATAGTAGGTACAGACAACCCTAAAGATTCCACTAAAAAACTGCTAGCACTACTAAATGAATTCACTAAAGTAACAGGATATTAAATAAATATTCAGAAGTAGGTTGCATTTTTATATACCAATTATATACTATCAGAAAGAGAAACTGAGAAAATCCCATTTACAGATTTATCAAAAAAATACCTGTGGCAAATAGACATATGAAAAGATGCCCAATATCACTAATCATCAGAAAAATGCAAATTAAAACCACAATGAGATATCATTTTACATCTGTTAGAACTGCTGTCATCAATAAATCAACAAACAGCAAGAGTTGACAAGGGTGCAGAGAAAAGGGAATGGTTGTGCACTGTTGGTGGAATGCAGATTGGTACAGGCACTATGGAAAACAGTGTGGACTTTCCTCAAAAAGTTAAAAATGGAATCGCCTTATGACACAGACATTCTAATTCTGGGTTTGTATTTGAAGAAACCCAAAACACTAATTCAGAAGGACAGATGCACCGCCACCTGTGTTGCAGTGTTATTTACAATAGCCAAAATATGGAAGCAACGTAAGTTCCCATCAGTAGAAGAGTGGACATAAATATACCTACAATTAATGGAATATTACTTGGCCATAAAAATGAATGACATTTTATCTTTTGGGACAGTATGAGTAGACCTAGAGGGTATTATGCTAAGTGAAATGTGTCAGGCAGAGAAAAGAAATGCTGTATGATTTCACTTATATGTGGAATCTAAAAAACAAAATAAATGAACAAACAAAATGGAAAGAGATTCATAGATACAGAGAACAGACTGATGCTTGCCAGAAGCCAGGAAGGTTGGGGGACTGGGTGAAAAAGTTGAAGGGCTCTAGAAGTACAAATTGGCAGTTACAAAATTGTCACAGGATGTAAAGTCCAGCACAGGTAGTGTAGTTAGTAACATTGTAATAACTATGCACAGTACTGGGGGTAGGTAACAAAATATCTGTGGAAATCACTTTGTAAAGTATATGATTGTCTAACTACTTTGCTGTACTTCTGAAACTAATACAAAATAATAATTGAATGCATACTCTAATCAAAAGTGAGATTTTAATAAAATAAAGTGACAAGAAAAATTAGAATTAGCTTGGTGTTAACATATGTTAATGCAAAAACACTTAATTAACTCTCATAAATGATTGATCAAGATGAACTTGACTTTCAGTTCCAGGCTGTGTTCTTTATGCAGCAGTTTGGTCTTCCCGGTTCAGTTTGGCTGGTGTCCTCAGGCAAAAGAAACTCTCCTTTGACTCTCTTGCTCTGATATGGAACCATATCTGGAGCATGAAAAAATTTTCTTTACCCTGATATGGACAAACGATGAGGCTCATTTTTTATTTTTTGGTGTTTATTTGATTTCTGTTTTAATGGCTGCTGTTACTTCTGACCTGATTACTTTTTTTCTTCTAGTTTAAGATTGAGAGAGAGTGGTGGACATGGATTGATTATAACCGCTTCCAGGAGCTCATTCAGGAATATGAAGACAGTGGTGGATCAAAAACTTTCGGCGCAGAGGATTACATGGCCAAAACTCCTCTCTGGGCGTTATTTGGTGCCAGTGAAAGAGGCTTTGATCCCAAGGACAGAAGATATCAGAGAAAGAACAAATCAAAAGATATTTCAGGATGTTGAGATTATCTGAGTTGAGGGTAATGAAGGACAAAAACTAATGACCCCAGAGGGTTCTCAGGCTCCACTGTGGCTTTTTCAAGGACAAATTTCACAAATTACATTTCGTACACAAGGACACCGTGAGGCAGAACGTGGGGAAGCCAGTCACATCCTGGGGGTGAGGAGACCGCATCCCACTTGGAATTCCACAGCCTCACCATTTCTTTCCAGAACTGAGTCCCTTTCCTGATTTTATTTCTGAGAGGAAAAGTATTTGGGAGGTGGGGAGAGTATACATAGCTACTAGAATTTAATTGACAGTTTATGAATTATAGTTAGTCAGACTCCTAGAATGCTGTTCAGGAGAGGGCTACACAGAATGAGTGTCCCCCTCTCCCGCTGTGGCAGTGGCCTTTGTGGATTGTGCCACCTGAGGTAGGTGTATCTGCTCCCTCTTAGGTCTCTACCCTCTTCTTGTACCTGAAAGTAATTTAGGCCGTCATGGTTCTGTTATTTAGAAATAGTGCATAGATTGCTACAAATTCTTGCTTAATGCCAACCCTGTAGAAATTGAATTTGTTTTAAAACTGAACTAGATCTCATTCCATTCCCATACAAATTGCTATAGAAGGTAATCTATGGGCTGGATTAGAGTAAAAGCTCTTCTCTAGAGAGAGGAGTTACCTTCCGATGTCATTGAATAATTAGTCTCACACACAGACTTTGAAATGACGAGTACAGTTGGCTGCTCGTCTGCACAGCCAGTGTGCAGGGCCTCGCGAGCAGCCAGTGTGCAAGGGGCCTCGCGAGCAGCCGGTGTGCAGGGCTTCAGGAGCAGCCAGTGTGCAGGGCCTCGCGAGCAGCCTGCGGCTGGTCTGCCCACCTCCTGTCGTTCTTGTGGCCCGAGGTGCTTCCCTCGGTCTGTTCTTTAAGGTTCAGGTTTTTTCTCACTATAAACATCATTCAATACTCAATGGTTTTTCAAAGTGTCATAGTTGTTTTTTAAATTCCTTTATTCTAAAAATTTAATTAATAAAAAATCTCCTGTAGACACTTAGAACACAAATTTTCTTTTGAGTGTATTACAGATACGTCTAATCCTGTGCTTCTGAGCCCTGTCAGACCTACTTCCTTTATATCAGTTCTGTCCTAATACCCTTTGTTCTCTGCTGGAGGAAAATTTGTACAGAATGTAATCTACCTACTCACTTAGCTCAGAACTAACCACTGTATTTCTAAGTCTTAGAGTCAACACACTTCTCTCTGTTGGAACATAAGATGGGGCAGGGACGAAGTATCCCAGAAATCATATGTTCTTTCTTGAACCCACTACCCCTTCAAGCTTATGTGTCCTGTCTGCTGATCGTGGGAGGTGAGCTGGCAGTGGTCGGGGTCAGTGAGGCAGGATCTCACTGGAGCCCAGATGTGTTAGTGGTCACTAAGCAGAGACGGAGAAAAACCTTGAGGTAGAATGAAATATTTCTAAAAAGCAAGGGGTCATACTAAGGAGCCCAGAGAAGCTCCTATTCGTGACAGGTCACCCAGCAGCCAGGGAAATGCCTCAAGCACCGAAGTGGGGAGTGAGGTGGCGCCAGCAGGGCTTGGGACCATCCCTTAATCGCTTTTTCAACCAGGCAGCTCTGTTTTTGTTATTTCTGTATGAGTGCTGCAGAACAGACCCAAGGAGGGTTTACTATATACTGTTACCGAAAGGACCCCCCACTTATTCTCTGCCCCCCCACCTAGGTTTACTTTGCCCACCACCAGAGGAAAGAATGACAGAGATTGGTGTAAAGGAAAGGAAATATTTATTTAAAAGTTATACAGATTTAAAGTAGTGACTTAATGTCTTCATTAAAGCACTAAAGTCCTTTAGAATACCCACAGACACACACAGTCCCTCCTTCTCCCTCCCCCCAGTCCAGGGTACCGTATCTCAGGAAAAGAAGTAGAAGTCTGTGATTCGGGCTCCCGGCACCATCAACTGTGTCACTGCCACAATCTCCAGTTAATCCAAAGCAATGTGGCACCTCCTCATGGCCCACCAGCAAGAGTCCTTTCACCCCTTTTCTTCCAGGCAAAGTCTCCTGCTTCCTAAGCCACGTGATAAAAGGGAGCACCCCAAGGGTGTAACCAGAGGGAGTTGTCTCCCAGTTACACCTTGGGTGGAAGCCACTTCCACCCCTTTGGCTCAAAGCGTGGCCACAGCTATTTAACATATCTATGACATTGGTTAAAGGTTATAGCTATGTATAGCTATGTTAGATGGTTATCTGCAAAGCTGTTGCTGTACAACACAGCTCTGAATGGCCCTGCTCCATGTGTCCCATCCCCCAGCTCAGACTTCTGGGCATGAGGACATCCTATTTATTTTTCTAATATTTTGTGGACACCTTGAGTTCTGGACCCCATTAAAAATCCCTATTTGGGGCCTCCCTCTTGGCTTCACCCTGTTACATGAGGACAAAGATACTCTGCTGCTTCAAAGAAAAACAAACCTCAGTTCCAGAATGAGCCCTCCTGACTTCATTAACCTTAGGTACATAAATGAGTAGTTTAATCCCCCCAGAAAATGTTTAATTTATATTAAAAATGATAATATGGCACATTAATCACAGTTCACAGTCACAGCAAAAAAATTTAAATGCCAAAGAAAAATACAGTGGAACTAACTAGAATTCTCATCAGAAAACATGGAGGCCAGAAGATGGTGGGCTGATCTTCCAAGTGCTGAAAGACTTTCAACCAGGAGTTCTGTAGCTAAACCCTTCAAAAACAAAGGAGAAATTAAAGCATTCAAAGGTAAAAATAAGAGAATTGACCACTAACATACCTGCCCTACCAGAACTACTAAAGGGGACCCTTCCAGCTTTAGTGGAAGGAAGTACACTAGAAACTAACTTGAAGCCACATGAAGAAATAGCACTGGTAAAAGTAACCACTTTTATAGGTTTTATAGAAGTATAAACTTATTTTTGTTTGTAACTCCTATCAGTTTTAAACCACAACTGCTTAGAGCAATAATTGTAAAACTGTGTTAATGGACTTACAGTGTATAAAGATGTAATTTATATGGCAACAGTAGCACAAGGGAGTGCAGGAAACGTAACTAATGTTGGAGCAACCGTTGACTACCCACTACTGAAATTAAGTTAGTATGAATGCAGGGTAGATTAAGATGCTAATTTTATTCCCAAGGGCAGCCATTAAGAAAATAGATAATGATAATATAGTAAAAGAATGTGACTCTGCTCCCAGTTTTGATGTGTGCTTTTTTTCCCTCCCAGCAAGCATACCTCCAGCACTCGCTGCGTATCCCACAATTCCATTAAATTCGGACACTGTGTACATGGAGACGGGGTGAGGTGGCACAGGTTAAGGGCTCCCCCCAACCCCACTCCACTTCGGATTCCAGTCTGCAGTCCAGGTTTTCACCTGTGCTTCTGGCTGACCTGCTATAGATTGGAGGTTCCAGTGACCCTCTCCTTGGGTTCAACTAATTTGCTAGAGTGGTTCTTGGAACTCAGAGTAACATTTTACTTACTAGAATACTGGTTTATTAGAAAAGGATGCCACTGGGGACATCCAGGTGGAAGATATGCATAGGTTAGGTTATGGGGAAAGGGCTCAAGCTTCCAGGTCCTCTGGGAGAGTGCCAGTCTCCCGGTTCCCCCAAATATTCTGTGACTCAGAAACTCCAAACCCCATCCTCTGAGGTTTTTTACATGGGCCCCACTGTTAGCTGGGCTCAGCATCCAACCCCTGTCCCCGGCTTAGAGGCCCCACCCTCCGGTCACAGGGTGGGCTCCCCTGGCAGGCAGCCCCAGCCTTAGGCTACCTAGGGGTTTTCCAAAAGTCAATTCATTAGCATAACAAAAGACACCTCTTCACTTAGGAAATTTTAAGGGTTTTAGGAACTCTGAGCCCGGAATGGGGATGAGGACCAAATATATATTAGTATAAATCACAGTATCACAAAGAAACAACAAGGGAATTAAAAAGACACACTAGAAAATATTTAACACAAAATAAAGAATAGAACAGAAATACAAGACATTCAAAAACAAATAGCAGCCCTGGCTGGTGTGGCTCAGTGGATTGAGTGCCAGCCTGTGAACCAAAGGGTTGCTGGTTCAATTCCCAGTCAGGGCACATGCCTGGGTTGCAGGCCAGTTCCCAGCAGGGGACCCATGAGAGGCAACCACACATTGATATGCCTCTCCTTCTCTCCCCTTCCCCTCTAAAGATAAATAAATAAAAGTTTAAAAAAACTCTTTAAAAAATTAAGTAAATAATAAATAGCAAAGATGTCAGGCATAAATCCTACCTTATAGGTAACTGTATTATGTAAATAGATAAAATACCCAATCAAAAGATTGCAGAATGGATTTAAAAATTATATGCTATCTACAAGAGACTCATTTTAGATCCTAAGACTTAGAGGATGGGAAAAGATATACTATGGAAGCAGTAACCAAAAGGGAGCTGGAGTAGCTTTACTAATATCAAAAAAGTAGATGAAAATTGTTCTTAGGGACACAAGAGAGGACATTTTATAGTGATATAATTATAAGCAAATTATTCTTGTAATTGTATCTTACTAGAAAGATGCAATGATTGTGAACGTATATGTACCTGACAACAGAGTCCTGAACAAGGGAAGCAAACCCTGACGGGATTGGGGAGGGAGACAGCCCAGTAATCATTGTAGGCATGCGGAGCCCACCTTCAGTAATGGCTAGTTGGCCAGCCAGCAAGGAAGTGGGCGGTGTGTGCAGCACTGGGAACCCGCTGCACCTGGCAGACCTCTGCAGAACGCGTACCAGCAACACATGTTCTGAAGTGCCCGTGTGCATTCTCGAGTACAGAGGATATGTTAGAGCATCAAAAAGTTTCAATGAATCAAAAAAGGATTAAAGCTTTACAAAGTATGTCCTGTGACCAGCTGAGTGAAATTAGAAATCAACAGCAGCAGGAAAGTTGGGACACTGACAAGTAGTCACGTGCTGTTTAACTACAGGGACACCTTCTGAGAAATGTGTCACTAGGCCGTTTCCTCCTCGAGTGAACTGAACAGGCTCCTAGACGGCACAGCCTCCTGCACACCCAGGCTGTGTGGTACAGCCCGCGGTTCCTGGGCTGCAAATCTGTACAGCACAGTCTGTACTGAACACTGTAGGCAGTTGCAACAGTGGTATTTGTGTATCTAAACGTACCTAACGTAGAAAAGCTCCAGTGCACCCGGTGTAGAAGAGAAGATGGTGCACCTGCGCAGGGTGCTTACCATGCACGGAGCCTGCAGGACTGGAAGTCCTGGCTCTGGCTGAGTCAGTGGTGAGGGGTGAGTGAATGTGAAGGCCTAGGCTGTTGCACACTGCTGAACACACTGACTGGACTAAATTTATAGAGCGACCTGATCACCTGCTTACGAGAGAGAATGACGCAATCAGGAGGTGCAGTAACGATGAGATGGATGAGGCTGCTGCCGGTGGTACTGTTTATGGCAAAGTTTCTTTGTAAGTTGCAAGAGTACACTTTAACATAATGATAAAAATTACAATGTAGTAAATATATAAACCAATAAGAGGTTTATTGTCATTAAGTGTTATGTGCTGTCCATTAATTGTATGAGGCTGGCAGTAGGTTAAGTAGACGAAGGATGTAGGACATAAAGTTATATCAATGAGGAAATACAGATAGCTACAAAATATAAAGAAATTTTCACTTTCAGCAAAGAAATTCCAGTTAAAGTATTTTTGTCCATTAAATTAGTTTCTGCATCATAGTAAGGTAGAATCAAGCATTTCAAAAGCAGTTTGGCAATGTATACTAAGAACCTTGATTTTTAACAAATAACTGAATGATTTAGAGAAAAAAGTAGTGTAGGGTTTAAAGATATTTATTATAGCACATTATAATAGCAAACACCAGGAAGCCTAAATGTAAAATGTAGTAGGCTTCTAATATTCTTTGAAAGAATGGCAAAGTTATACCATATTTTCTAGGCAGTTCACTACTTCAACAAAACGTTCGTTGAGCACTAATTGTGTTGTAGTTGCGAAGCGTTCATCAGTAAGAAAGAGGGGAGCATAATTCTTACCGTTATGAGTCTGACGGGCATTCACCAGAGATGAAGGTTTACACAAATGTGTGTTACTCATCAAATGCACTGTGGCCCCGACTGCTCCAGAGAGTGACAGTCTCCACGTGACTGTGCACTTGGAGAGGTTTCCTTGACAGAGGAAGTGTGCGCTGACGGTGCTGGGACCCCCAGGAACGGTCCTGAATCCAGGGGTGGGGAGGAGAAGGATGCTGCAGGTAAAGGCCCCTCGGGAAGGGTCGGGGCACATTTGAGTAGCTGCAGGAAGGCCTCGGTGGCTGAAGGATGCCGGAGGTGTGGGAGAGGGCCAGGCCATTCAGGGAAATCGGGAACATAAAGGGCGATGACTCTGGGAAAGGTAGGCCGCCCAGGCCCTAAGAGCAACTATGCAAAGGAGCAGCATGGTTAGACTCACCTTTTAATAAGGTTGAAAAATGACTTGGAGAGGTCTAAGGGGAAGTGGAGTTGTGGAGTGTTCTTGTAGCATAGGCAAGAGGCCCAGGGGGTGGCATTTGTACAGCGCACACCCTCCGTGCTGACCCTGGTGGCCGGGGTGGTGGGGAGCAGTGGATGGGTGAGAAAGAGACCATAGAAGGTACCATGCAGAGTTTGGGCCACAAACTGGTTAGACTGGGGAGGTGGGAAGAAAGGTCCAGGATGACTCCTGGCTTGAGAACAGGGTAGAGACCTGCTGTTTTCCAGGCTGGCCAATACTGAAAGAGGGCCAGGACTGGGGGAGGTCCTGAGTTCATCTGGGGACACGTAAGCGTTGACTTCCAAGGAGAAGGTCGAGACAGTTATCAGGCATACAGGTCTAGGGTGGAAGGGGAAATGTGTGCATCATCATCATAAGTTAATAAAGCCTCAAGGAGGCTTGACATCACCCAAGGAGACAGAATAAAATGAGGAGAGACCATGTCTCCAGGAGCCCCAGCAGGTGGTAGGGGGCGGGGTGGGCAGAGAGAGCAGGGTGAATAGACGGGGGGGGGGGGCAGACAGGAGGGAAAGCAGCCCTGTAAGTCACAGACACTCGGGGAGGAGGGCAGGTCAGGGAAAGGCTGTTGGCCAATGCCAGAGCCAGCGAGAGGGCGGCTGGGGAGGATGGCAGGAGACGGTCCTTTGGAGGGGAGCCAGTGATGACCCAACACTTCTGGTGGTGTGCTGGTACCAGTGAAAGTTCTTGAAGCATTTTGATAACAGAAGTTTGTTATAGAATGCTGTCTAAAATATAGACTACAAAATCACAGTTATCTTAATTATGTAAAAATCACATGTTTAGAATCAATGACTGAATACGTATTATTTTAATGACAATACAATAAATGGTACAAGGAAATGTATTCTGTACTTCTTTGTGGAACACGCCTCTAACCTTTTCCCTCAATAAGATCCTGAAATTGGAATTCAGCTTATAGTTGGAGTTAAATATATTCAAGACAGCATATTTTGTCGGTTGAAAGATTATTTAATCTTCTTTGTTCTTCCACTGTGCTGGGTTTTTTGTTTTTTTTTTCACTTTTTATTTGAATACAAATTGATGAACTCTTCCTGGGGCCCTACTGACTTAATGCAAGTTGGCAATGATTAATCTTGTTGGCTATTAGCCTGCTTAGCGCTGTTGTACTTTACCAATTTCTTTTCATTTAATATAATAAATCATGTTACTTTCACAACTAGGTTTTGAAGATGTTTGGTGCAGTGTTGGAAATTCATTACATTTTCTAGAGAAAAAAGACCGTCATACTGTAGGAGGAACCCAAGTGCACTTAGGTTTATGTTTATCAATTTCAGGGGATCTGGCATTGACATTGGAGAAAGAAGGACTGGGAATAGCCACAGACCTTATTACCAGGCAGACACGTTGCAGCTGACTTGAGGGGAAGCACTCACTTCTGGGTGAGAAGAGAGAGCATGTATATTAGGAAATCTGAACAGGCAGCGTTTAGCAGCTCCTTCTCTGGTTTGTGCAAGTTCTTATCAAGACAGCGTGAAGCCCCAGTAATGCCTTCACCTTCCTCCTTATTGAGAACACACTGCATAGCTAATTAACTGGCTCCCAGCGTGAACTACTAGAAATTTATACTCTGCTTATTGGCTAAGGAGAAGTTGAATACCATAACTTGGGTTGTTGTGAAATCCCAATGTTCTTTTTAACAACTGGTGCCTCACCTCCGGTCTCCTACAGGGAGGAGCTCCTTGATCTGCCTGTCACTCTGGCAGTTAGACGGCCTGCATGTCCCCCAACATGGGCACCCCTGTCCTCCCCTTTGGAGAAGGGGTAAGTGAGGGCAGAGAGAGAAGGGCCCAGGAGAATCCCTGCAGGGCCGTTCACTCCCGGGCAGTGTGGCAGGGACGGCTTGACGACAGGGTGAGCTTGGACCATTAAATCGGTGGTCTGAGCTCTGGGTTGAGGGCGTTCAGCAGGAGTGCTGTGGTCAGGCTGCGATGTCTGCAGGGGCACAGGGCAGTCCTAGAACTCTGGTCCTTTGCTTGCTGCACACAGAATTCCTGGTGAAAGGCCCAGAGGCACCCGGGACATTGGGACTAGGGTCCCCCTGACTTGTCCCAGGCCTGGGCCCTTCTTTCCAGGGAACCAAAAGTCAGTGCTTCCTCCGCCACAGCTCATGATCCCCAGTGTCAGGGCTGGGGATGGGGCTTCAGGATGGAGAGCAAGGCCCCCAGTGAGTCTTGTAGAGTGTGGTGTGGGCGTGTGAGTTAGGGAAGGTGCACCTGGTGGGAAAGGCACAGCTGAAAGGCCCTGTCGCCAGGCTGTGGGCAAGTGTTTGCTGCATCTTGGGGTTGGGGTGTTAGGCGTTGCTGAGAGAAGCCTGGCAGCAGCCGCAGCCCTCTGGCTGATGTTCCATCAGCCTGCAGAGGGTGCTGGTGGATTCATAATCTCAGAAATATTAACAGTGACCATTCACTGGGCCCTGCCTGCACACCAGACATGGGGCGCATGGCCTCTGCCCTCCAGATTCAGGATTTAAATGGCAGGCACTGGTCGGAGCTGTGATTCTATGCCTCACCCCAAACTCCATCTCCCTCCTCCTGTCCAGCTTCCAGCTTCACAGGCTGCCGCAGTAAGGGTTCTGGGCTGCAAATCTGACCATGGCCTGTCCACCCAAACCCTCCCATGTCTCCTTTTAGCCTGCAGGCAAGTGCAATTCCTCGGCCTGAGACAGAGGCTGCCCTCAGCTGTCAGACGCATCTTACTCCCCAGAGCAGCTCACTGCTCCGGGAACCAGGGGCTGTTCTGTTTGTAACTTCCGTCCTCGCTGTCATCCCCAAAGCTGTCATCCCCAAACAGCTCTTCCTCGGCTTCTGCACTCAGGCTTCTGGGTTTGGGATTTGGGATTAATGTTATTCAGATTATTTCGCCGGCCTGGTGGTTAAAGTACACATTTGCCTCGATTTTTTTCCCCACCAGTGGCACCTTAGCCCAGAGCTTTTCAACATAGTTGCATAATTCATAGCACGTGTCTAGGTTATTGAGGGAGATTTGGCCCTGGTGGCAGAGCGGGCTTGTTTGTGTGGTCCTGTCTTCAGGACCAAGCCATGGGGACAGGGGAGGAGCCAGACTCGCGTGATCAGGCTGCTGACCCGGGCCCTTTGGGTTATGCTGAAGCCACAGAACATTCTTGTAAGATTATTTACATTACCGTAGCATCAGTGCCATAAGACTTGGTCCTGGCCCTGTCCAGAAGAGAAGCAGCACCCATGAGCCAGAGATAAACATTCAGTGAGGTGAATGCAAAACCTCTCGGAACCTGGGGACAAGAGTTTGGACTTAACTTGAAATAATTGGTCGTTGGAAACAAAACCTGGACAATATTTTAATAATTGTCAGTTCTGAGGTGTTTTTGTCTTCTCACTTTTCTAAACTGGTGCTAGATGGGAAAGCATGTTGTTTATACTGTTGAGGACCTCACTGTCATCATGTATCAGCAAGTTTCCTGCTGCCAGTAACAGAATTACCCACTAAAAGGGGTTTTAAATACTATATATTTTTCTCATCTCATATGAACAGTGTAGAAGTAGGTGGTTCCCAGGTTGGATCTAAGGACGAATAACCAAAGATCAGGCACATTCCAGTTTTCCCACTGCATCACTTTGAACGTGCTGCCCATTGGCCCCATGGCCTCAAGGTGGCTGCCACAGCTCCAGGCATCACATTCTCCTAGTTGCGTTCAAAGA